TTGAAGAAATTGTTACTTGTTTTTCTCTCTTGGAATATATACGTGGGTATTTTGTTCCAAGCTTAAGAGTTAAAATAAGAACTAGCATTCTAATCAAGTTGGGATATTGTTGGTGTCTCAGGGGTTCATCCTCACTCCATCAACTTCCAAGCCTCCCCTAGAGGACTCAAAGCGCTTCAAAGGTTGTTACCACTTCTTCCTTATATGGTTGTGTTTTAAATCTTTCTTATACTTGCAAGATGATCCTTGGTGGGTGATAAAATGTTTATGTTATTTTATAAAACTCAAGTCTTCTGTTTGCCATTATTTGTAGTTTTTTGAAACTAAGTTTTAAATATAACCCAACAATTACTTAATAAGAAAATATAGGATTTTCTGGAGAAACACACGAACATTTTCAAAGAACAAAGAACTTACTTTCTAAAACAAAATACTTATGAACTCACCAACTTAAATGTTGATACACTTTCAAATCACTTGTATTCTCAGGAAACTAGTAGACAGGTACACGCACAGAGTCCGAGAAGATGGAGCATAGTAGCTTCAAGTCTTTGTTTTTGCTATTTACTTTTGGAGTCAATCAACTGTGATTCGAATACAATGTAAATACTTTTTTTTATTAATGTAATGGTTGTTGTTGCTTTGCTTACTATTATTCATTGTTATGATACTGTACATGACGTCCTCCGCCACCGAACGTTTCCGCCGTTCCGGTTTGGGGGTGTGACAAGAGGTGCCTAGAATGGTCATGTTGGCTTGGTTGTTGGATTTCAGAAAAACTATTATGCCGAAATGATACTCCCTCCCAATTGCCCTGCCTGGCTGATCCTTACACTATCGATCTTGATGTAAACATCGGGATTAATGAGGAATCTAGACTATAATTAGGCATTAGGAATATAAACCTAAGACTTAGTAATGTTCATACTTAGGTCATGTAGTAAGGAAAAGCTAAAGGTGTTTGGCGAAGTTCTGTGAAAACACCAGTCATCCACCTAAGTCAGGTGAGTGCATAGTTACTTTCAAACTTACACATAGATATAAGTATTCTAATTGCTTAAGTTCTATCTATGCTTAATATATAAAGTACAACAGGATTGAATATAACTAAATATATTTTACCATACTTAAGATATGAATGGGTAGAAAAGGGCCGTGTGAGATAAATGAGAGGCCATGATAGGTTAGTAAACGGCGTGTGAAATAATAATCCGTGTCTACCCTGTCTATCCAAAGTACAATGGTAATGTTGTGCTTGACCAAATTACTATTGTACTGTCGTTCCTGTCGTGTTTATACAAGGTACCGTTCTATTGTCGTGTTTACCCAATATAATATCCTACTGCCGAGCCTAATTACTTAGGGAAATATATAGATGAATGTTGTGTAAGATCCTTTAGCAGAGATCCCTCGAGATCATTACTTAAAGATTAGGAAGTGAGGATAACAGGAATACGTAGGGTTATCGGTTTGCTGTATAAAAATATTAAAGATTACAATATTGTGGGTAGAAAACCCTACGTACTCACCAGGTTTCCCAACCTGACCCACTCAGTTTCATTGTATCATAGGTAGCGATACAAATATACTGATTGATAACATAATTATCTGTTGAGAGATCAGTAGTTTGCAAGAATATCACTGTAAGGCCCATTTATGTTTATATTTTGTATCAGTTATGACATCCCAAGTTTTAAAAGATATTAATGTGGAACACTTCTTCAAAAATGTTCGATATTAATATTATCTCACATCGAAATAATAATTTTGGGACAAGTTTCCGCACTCAGGGGCGGTCCTACAGTGGGGGCAGATGTCCCCACAACAATTTTTTTTTATTAAAATAATAGGTTTTTATATTTTTTTTAAATTATATTTTAACCCTTCAAAATTATATATTTTGACTCTTCAAAAATATTTGCCCCCCATAAAAAGTTATAATTTTTTTTGCCCCCTCTTCGGAAAATTCTTGGATCCACCCCTGAAAGTAGACAATAAATATAAGACGGAGGTAATATTATTTACGTAATGCTTTAGTGGGCCAACAACCCTATTTATATTTCTACAATGACATTTAAAACAACCACTTTCTACCAAGCTTTTGAAAACAACTCCTTTTTGTAAAAAACTCTCAATGTTTCAAGCTTCTTCTATGTACCCCTATTTTATTGAAGGCTTATTTGTTTAATAAGTTTCGTCTATACTGTTTTTTCCATGGTTCTAAAAAGCACGTCATAGCGCGCCTCAAGGCGTGCCATGGCGCGAGGCGTCGTGTAGACGTTACGAAAACGTTCAAGGCGGGTTTGTTAAACATGACGCCCAAATAACGTGTCAAGATGCCTGTTATAGTATTATGACGCTAGTTTTTTTCAAGGCACAAGTTTTTTTTTTTTTTTTTTTTTTTTATCGAGCCTAAAATAATTGAGTTTTTGTTAACTTTTATATAGTAAATACTATTATAACATTTCTAAAAACTTGATATACTTGATAAAATTCAATAATTATATGATTTATCTCTTTTAATATATATAAAATAATCACGTCTTAAAAAACAGCATGACTCGCCAAGGCTTAATTTTGACCTTGCCGCCAAGCTATGTCTCACGTTATTTAGAACTTTTTTATTTATTTTTTATTTATCACAATAGCTTATTGTGCTTTGTCTAATAGTGATTGGAAGCTAAAACATGAATTGTTATCTATGAGCGTATTGCATGTTAATTGCTAATTGTCCTTGCACCTTTCATGCAAATTAATGCCGCTTTCCTAGCAATACTAAACTTATCATTGGCGTAAAATATCATCAACCAAAAGGATAATTCCACATTTTGAAATCTTGGCACATGCATGACAAAGAGCAGCCACATGATAAATATGCAAAACTCAAAAATCAACAACCCATACATAACACGTTTTCAAATCCTTTTGTCTGTATACAATCTATATATGTTTTGTGCAAGTGTGTAGTGAAAGAGAGATCCTACACCATCTTGGTGCATCTTTTGGACAAAACAAAGATACGCCAAGTGCTTTTTATTCGTATAAACAGATTGTCTCTTTACATCAATAGATCATCAAAAACAAGCTCATCTAACAGATCATCAGCAATCATTTCTTCAAGTTCAATGCCTACAAACTCTGCATCAGCCTGGAGGTTCATCCAACCATCCCCTTTCTGCAAATCACGGCTCAATACTGCATCATCTAATGAGGGTTGAAGATCTTGTCTCCAACTCAGGTACATATTAACAATATCCCATACCTCTTCCAGAACACGGTATCCTACAGGCATTGGGCGAACCTTTGAACCATAAATCAATGCATTTGGGCAAAAAGTGCACGTTTTATTATGAATCTCCAGTAAAGACTCATTGATTAAATCAAAGAGAAGAAGATGATGGTCGTTGATGATCTTTTGAGCAGCTTCCCCATCCTTCATGGAATCCAGCTCTTCAAGATTGTTTGTTTGAAGGAAAGTAGCTTCCACTTCCTCAAATAATAAAGGATCAATTGGTTGGTAGCTAGAATACCATTCTCCAAGAACTTCATTGTCAAGAAAACCTGATCGCTCCATCACCTCTTTAACAAATTGGAACTCGGTGTTGTCCTTGACTGAGTTTAAATCCAAGTGTAAAAATCCATTTCTTTGCATCTTATCATTCACTCTACTCTTTGCACTAATGGCCATAGGTTTTTCAATGTTAGGTCTTTTGTTATGAATAGATGGTTGGTCTGAGGTAGATGGTTGATCATCAATAGAGAACAAGTATTGTTGGTTTTCATCAGAAAATTCTGTAAGCATCAATGTAGACAACAAG